CGGATAAATGTCTGAGGGGAGGGACGCACGGTGCTGATATGTTACCTTCTTTTTGCTGAGTACATGGATGTTTTTACTTTATTGAAGAGCATCCCATCCTTCGTATTGTGCGCTAACCAAGTAGGTGGTTGTGTTAGGGCCGTCCATTAATGTGATATGCGTGAAGTGGAAACTTTTTTATGAAAGCTCTTTAAAAAGGAACAAAGTATTTCGGGAGGAGGCGAAGGTTTTGGACGGCGTAGCATCACGGCCAGATGTGTGCAAGTTCTAGAATATGTAAGAACAAATCAAAGCCTCGAACTCGAATGTCGTTGGCTTCCTCTCATGACAAGGAACACGTCTATTATCGGCTTCTCATCTCTAGCTGAATCAGGGGGCCAGGCGGACGTTACATTTTGTGACGTGCGCTTATCGCAAGTTATCAGGGGGCAGGGTTCACCCAGCGTAACTAACATGTAACCAAGCGGAGAGTTAAGATGACCGAAAATGCGTACTTTAATTTACCGGCTTGACTGCCGTCATTTTCAGACAAAAAGTAATACGCCGAAGAGATAACGTTCGTCATGGGTTCATAGCGTCCTTAGCGCGCTTTAAACTGCTCTCAACTCAGCAGCGAACAGCCTGTCCAGTTACTTTAGCGTGTGTATATGGCACACCTCTGTTAGATGGATCAGGACTGAAAGCTCCCAGCCCTACGTTCCTTTGCACTGATATACCTAAGGTCAACAAAGTCAATTATAGGTCAATTAAAGGTCAATTATATTTCCGTCATTCAGACACAAAGCACGTTTCTCCATCTCCAAACCGTCACTCATTCGCCGCAGTAAATGGCGGCTTCTGAGGCCGCCGTGTCGTCTCCGGAGCACGTGCAGTGTGAGTCCTGGGCGGCATGCCAAGGGCGCCAATGCGTGACCTTGCGTATCGCGCGCACCCGGTCTCGGCGAGGGAGCGCTGCTCGCCGTTATGCCCGCCGTCAGGCCCGCCGTCATGGCTGCTGTCATGCCTGCCGTCAGGCCCGCCGGTCTCACCGCCGCTGTAATGCGGCGCGGCCTCATGTATTAATACCCACAGTGTGGTCGGAAAAATCGCGGCCCGGAGCCGGTCCGTCGGTCTGTCGGCGGCGGCCCGCCTGGCCTGCGGTCTGCCGAGCCGCGGGGGGCGAGGGGGCCGGCGGCGGCGGACCGCGGCCGCGTGCCGACCGCCGCCGCCGCCTGACCCGTGTCGTGACCGCTCCTGGCGCGCCGTCTGACCCGTGTCGTGACCGGTCCTGATCCGCCGTCTGACCCGTGTCGTGACCGGCCCCGACCTGCCGCATGACCCGTGTCATGACCGGCCTTGACCTGACCCGCCGCTCTGCCCGCAGGTACGTGGCCTGCGCCGTGACCTCAGCCCGGCCGGCGGCTTCGTGCGGGATCTTGACACCACGTAAGTTGGCGGCGACGGCGGCGGCGGTGATGCCGCTGTTGGCGCCGCTACTGGCATCTGTCGGCAGCCGCGCGAACCCGGTGCTTAACCTCGGGGATGGCTGGCGCTGCGCGGGCTGAACGTGCCGTTCGCAGAACGACACTGGGGCCTGCTGTGGAGTGACCAGGGCCTGCGGCTGTGGCGGTTTTTGGGGACTAAGGCGATAAGCGGTATTGCCGCCAGGCAGTGGGAGGAAGGCTGACTGGCGCGGCGCCAGGTCCGCGACCGGGGGTGAGGCGCTATGCACGCCCCTGCCGCTGATGAATGGAAGGGGCCGGACTGGACGAGTTTGTATCTTCGTCACTGGGTGTCTGATGTCTTGCTGCCACTTAGATTGTGGGTTGTTTGTTTGCGTATTGTCATCGCTGAATTGGGTGCCATCAAACGGTTGCTCACATTGGACTGGGCATTATTTATCAGTTGTGCATGCCCGGTCAAAGATGTGATTTGTAAAGTTAGCAGTTTTAACCTGAACCCTGCATTTGCGACGGACCGCAATATATGTGCAGATTTGTATTCTTGTATTGACGTTCGAGGGTCCCTGGCATTACCGACACTTTGTTTTGTAGAGAATAATCCTCAACACGAACTTGATGATGATGTGAGGCGGATGGTGGAAATGCGTTTTGTTTTGGCTTCTCTCATGCTGTAGAAAACAAGATAATTGGTGTGTGCCGTATCCGGAGGGTATTAATCGTGCACGCAGTAGAATGTCCGCAGCGCGCTGGGGGTGGTCAGCCAGCAGCGTGGCCTGCCTGCAGACGTCTGGCTCGTGCTGCTCGACACCGTGACCTGTGTGTCGTCCCGCCGTTCTGTGGCCGGGGATGTCGTGCCTCCGGCGCTCACGCGCGCCCCCTGCCCCGCAGGACGGAGCCGTACTCGCCGAGGGACTTCCTCAGGGGCGTCAACCCAGTGTCCAAGTGTGGCAAGTAAGTTGGGGTGTCGGCTGCTACCTGATGTTACCGTAACTACAACTGTCACAGATGGCTCTACAACCCGACTCCCGCGAAAGACCAAAAGAGGGGAAAATGGCGGGCACAAGGCGTTGAAATAGCCTGCATCTGTGAACTTCCAGGTTTTCCGACATGCTTTCCTTCCCGTATTTCTGGGTCGTCGAAAATAACATTGGAACTCTGAATTTCCTGATCATATGCTGTCAAAGCCTTAAGATTCCCTCAAAACTTATGGTCAGCGGTGGTTCTAGAGGGACATAGAGAGGCGCTTTGCTGGAGCTCTGTACATTGTCGTGGGCTGAGAGAGTGGAATAGGTGGCATGCTTCCTTGCTCCATGCGTGCTGCAAGGCGAGGCAAGGCACGCTTCAAGGCGAGAAGTGCGGTTTCTTTGAAGTGATCTAAGCAGGTGACGTTCGCGGCCGTGCGTACAAACGGCGTTGCCGTCTGGTCGGACTGGGCTGGAGAGCTAGAGACGACGCCACTCGTAGTTGTCTGGCATGCCACCGATTCAAGATACAAATCACCTGTGAGCGCACTACTTGACGCGGTACTTTGCCTTTTCGAAGGTGACAAGAGGTTCCCAGGTCTGAGCACGGTCCGGTCTTTGGGCAGACTGCGATCTGTATGTGCTCCCGTTCCATGACCTGCACGCCATGATCTTGGTTGAAAATGCATTACCAGATTCATGCGGCTGCATGGGGTCAGCGAAATTGCGGAAGCCCGCACGAGAATTGTCTGCAGGTCAGCATGAATAGCCAGTTGACTGTATGATGTTGCATTGTTACGCAGTTGTGTGGTAAGCTTCAGAATTCAGCGATATTCGTTGCGATTGTGTTGTGATCGTCGTAGTTAAGCGATTGTTGATGTGAGTTTTCTAACTTACCCCCATACGCTTCCAACGCCGTCGTAGAGAGCAGCAAGGAGAGGTTGTTTGCAGAGCAGGCAGTTACATCATGTTTCTGTGACCCAATGCCGCAGAAACACGCGGCATGTTTTCGCGGTAAAGACGTGTTTAATATGAACGAATCTCAAGTTACCTCCAGACGTTGTGTTACGCACAATTTTGTGCGCTGTACAGTAAACGTTACTGAAGAAGACGGCAGGGAGGGAGGGAGGGGAGGAAATGGCTACTCCTGATTATTATTTCAGGGGTATTATTTTTAGGATCAGGGAGCAAGGTGCTGAAATTGGCGGACGATATTAAATTGGTATGGCTGTCGAAAATCACCGATTGGATGAACTAAATTTGGCTTAACCTAGATAAAGTTAAAGTTGGGCGTCTCTGTGGCAGATGTCATTCATTTACAACAGGTACATAATGTGATGTATTTGGATAGTTTTAGCCGTGAGGGCGTTAGCGATAAACTGGGAGGCCGGGAGTTAGGCTAGGTCGAGGGAGAAGAGGACTCAGGGATTATCATTTCTAGGGATTTAGGGTAAAGGGGGGAGGGGGGGGGGGGTGAAAACGATGTGCGGCTGCTAGGAGCAAGGCTCTTCGGATGCTGGGACTTGAACAGGAATGCCCATTGCAAGAGCAGGAATATTGTCAAAAAGTTGCACTTAGCTTATTTCAGACCACATCTAGAGTATGGTGTACATGCTTGGTCCCTATACTTCCAAAAAATATAGATAGACAAGAAAGAGTACAGCGAAAAGCAACCAAGATTATAGATGGATTGGCGACTTGGATTGTAAGGATAGGCTTAGGGCCTTGGATTCGTATTCACTGAAATATCGCAGACTTAGAGGAAGTCTGATAGTGGTATACAAGGCTATGAAAGGAATAGACAAGGCACATCTACGTGGAGCGCTGAAATTGATTCGGAGATATGGAGGGAACCAGTTTCATGTAGAAAAAGGTGGGAATATAACTATAGAGAGGCAGATGTCACTTCGTCAAAGAGTAGTGAACCATCGAAATATGTTGACAAACGAAGTTGTAGGAAGTCCGTCCCTAGCAACATTTAGAAACCGTTCGGATAGGTTCTATCGGTCTTGAAATCTCATTTATAGCCAAATGCATGCAGGTCAGGTGATAGGATTAGCTTTGAGGATGTGTACGGAACCGGAGGTAGGCCGACCTGGATAGGCCCTGGTGGTGCTTGGTTGACCGGATGTCTTTATGTTTGTATGTCTAATACTGCGACAACATGTTCAAATCCCTGCGACAATCCACAGGCATGTATGAGTAAGGCCACCGCTGGCTTCATCGCACCGTGACCGGGGTCTCAGTACTGGTAGCACTATCAAGGCACCTTGCTCGCCATCATGCACCGACTGTGGCCCAGAACACTTTGTTCTCAGCACCCTCCATGGTGTGAGACATGCCTGCGGACGCTGTTGTCCGTCGAGCCGTCGTGACCTGACCTGCTGCCTGGCTCTCAGCGGTCACTGCCGGCGCACAGTCTCCCTCGGCGCGAGTCTCATCAGCCACGTATATTCATCTATAAATTACTCTATGTACACTGGTGTCGTGCCGAGCGGGCGTGCGAGCTGGGTACGGGTAGAATGGGAGCCCGGCGCGGCGCGCGGACGCAACCGCGCCGCCGGGGCCGGCTGTTTGTCTGTCGGGGTCCGCAATCCTAGTACTTGTGTGCGGGCTGGGCGTGCTGGGCGTAGCCGGTGTAGGTGACCTCGGCGTTGTAGCCGCCGTAGCCGGCCTGGTCGGCGTAGTATTTGACGTGCTGGGTGCGGCCGTCGGGCAGCGCCACGCTGTAATAGCCCTGCGCCGTCTTGCCGTCGTTGTGCTCGCTCTGCCGGAACTTGGGTCCGTAGTGCGGGTCCTCCACGGCGTACTCGAAGGCGTAGGCGCGCGGCGCGCTGTAGCCGCCGTGGCCGTAGCCGCCGCCGTGGCCGCCGCCGTAGCCGCCGCCGTAGCCGTATCCGCCGCCATAGCCGCCCGCCGTGGACGCCGCCGCGGCCGCCGCCGTGGCCGGCGCCGTATCCCACGCCGTGGCCGTAGCCCTGCGCGCTGGCCGTGGCGGCGATGGCGGCGAAGAGAGCCAGGAACTGGAACAGCGGCGCGAGCTGAGGCGGGCGGCCGGAGTGGGACGGTCCCGGCGTGGTGGAGCAGGAGGTATAGGCAGCAGTGGCGGAGTGTCCGCTAGGGCGCTGTCAGGAAACGGAGGGCCAGGAACTGGAACAGCGGCGCGAGCTGGGGCGGGCGGCCGGAGTGGGACGGTCCCGGCGTGGAGGGGCAGGAGGTGTGGGCAGCAATGAACGGAGTCCCGCTGGGGCGCTGTCAGGCGCTCGGCTTCCATCGCAGTTGGGAGGCGGTGCACCACGGGTATGCCGTCGAAACGAGCCATGGGAGCAAATCATTCAAACATGCATTAGATGTTGGAGTATCTGTCGTTTTTATGATAATCGTATCTGTACCTGCGTTTCAAAGAACAGTGGCATCGAACGGTTCCAACTAGCCTTCAAGTCGTTTTACTGGGACGGTTTTGTTCTGTATGCTGGTGACCGGACCAACGGACGCCGTGGCAGAAATTAATACTTGGCTGTGCTGTAGGCCCTTTCGGAAGCCTGTGTTATGAAATGGTAAAAATGGGGTTGGGAGAGAAGCTTTGCTGTAAGCCTTCTGCATGCTTGTGTTGTAGAACACCAGGCAGTGGAGCGGGGAGAGAAGAAAGAAGTGACTTGTGCCTAGGGTCAGACTAGCTTCTGTAAGGCATAGGCAGGCGTAGAGGATATATATGATGATGCTTATGCAAGCCGAAAGGGGAGTGCGGGCAGCTCTCTGTATGCCGTGGAACCCAGGTCCCGAGGCAGTTCCTGGGCTCCACGGGGTCTACTCCTGGAGCTCTGAATCTGGTATCTGAATTGGGATCTGAAGCTGATTGGGCCGTTGATCGGGGCCCGCATCGTACCATGATTGTGATTGGGTGCCTCGAGCCGTGTGCTGGCGGCCGGCGTGACCAATGGGCGGACAGCGTGTGGCCACGCCGCCGGTGGCGGGCGTTGTGTCGGCCCGGGCCCTGCCGTTCGGCCCTCTCTCTCTCTCTCTACCTTCATGTTGCCGTGCTGCGGTGGAAGGGCGGTGGCTGCGAGTGCTGACCGGTGGCGGGCCGGCCGTTCTTTATACGGCCGCCGGGGCGCCGCGAAGGTCGCCGGTTACGCACGCGGCGCAATGAGCGTGTCACGCGCGGCCGGCCGCCTGGCACCGGGGTCACACCTGGCGCGCCGCCACCTCGCCCCCCTGAACAGTTAGCCGGGCTGGGGGCGCGCCGGCAGCCTCGGCAGCCCCGGTAGTCCCGCCGGCAGTCCCGGTAGTCCCGCCGGACAGCCCCGCCGGGCAGACCCGGCTGCGGAAGGAGGCCGGTCGCCACCGCTGAATGAGGCGGCGCAGCAGGAAGACGCCGACAGGATATCCGACGTTAAACTTGCTGATACTGGCAGGGGTCAAAAACGGACAGTGGTACTGGCAGAAGTGCGGGTCGAATTCCCAGAGATGTGAGCTGGCTGTCGCGCGCCGGCGTCCGCGCATCTCGGATTCACTCGTGTCGAGTGGTGAAGATGGGTATCAGATGTCAGCGCTGGAGCGGATGGAGACGTGAGACCGGCTGGATGGTGTTGGCGGATGTGCCGCTTCTGCTCGTGACCAGGTCTCAGAGCTGTCAGGCCCATCTGGTCCTCAGCAGGCAACCGGCAAACGGCAAATTGTTACCGTTTTCGAAACTGGCTTCGAATACTGTATCTTGTAGCCTGAAGTTAGAAACTGTAAAAGAGGAGATAGAGTGCAAGTGTTACTGCATGGGAAGATGTATCCATTCAGCAAGTGCAAAACATGGCATGGGGTTAGAGGGAAGGTTGGCGAATTTCGTTTGATGCATGGGGTATGTCTTCGAACTTTCTTCAGTTTTCGTCCGTGGTTTTGGTTAGTTTTCCATTGAGGCACCCATGGCGCTGCCTGACAAGCTTAGAGCCTTGTACATACCCAGCCCAAGCCAACGTTTTGAACTAAAAGCTCTTGCAAGGACCAGTATTCTGTTAAAGTCTTGCCCTGAGATCGTCGTTTTAAGCACGTCTGTACAGCACGCCAGACCAACGCTTATCGATAAGGCAGTACTAAAAGCCTTATTTCTCGTAGAATAACCTTGAGAATTGAGGGGTAGACCTGTCGATATTTCGGCCACATGCCTGTATCGAAGCGAATATCATTATTATGAAATATCTAAACGGTGCTCTAGTATAGAATATCTACCGATATTCGTTTCGGTCCAGGCATGCGGCCCAAAGATCAACACACCTATCTCTCCATTCCCCTGGTTATTCCTCGAGGAATAACGCTTTCAGTACTCTCTTATTTATGTGTATAATGCTCCTCGCATACGCATTTAATAACTTCGGTAATTTTAAACCGAATGGCCAACGCCAATTCCACCCTCACGTGAATCCAATCATTTGTAGCAGCACGCCAGACGTTGTCCCTGACTTGTCTAACATACTTCAAGCTAATCATGTGGCATCATCACCCGCACTTGAACCTGACACGTGACAAGGCGTGTGGCGTCGATACGGGTGAGTGCAGTACGTACGGGCCTACGTAGTTCATAGATATCGACGTCAATAGAAAGCTTAATTAGTTTGAGATTGAGAGCACGTGGAAAGAAGAGAATGCGTGTGCTGTAGTCATACATATGGTTGGATCGCCAGGGTTTCGTTTCCGTACCGGAGCTGTCCCAGGGTGTTGGCGCCACCACTGGTCGTCGTCCACCATTGGGAACAAGTGGACATCGGCTGCGTTATTGTTCATATGGTGGCGCTGGGCTGATGCCAGCCTGAGGTCTGTGTGGCGGCTTCCTTTTGCTCTGTTTGAGTGTCCATAGGTTGTTCCGATCCTACCATGGGCTTGCCAGCGTTTTCTGGCTCACCGGCCTGAAATCGGCTAGGCTTTTGTTGTGGTCGTTTGTGCCCTGAGTAACGAATTATGTCGGCTTGGCCTGCGCATTGGTGTCCCGCTTTGATCGTGTGTTTCCTTGGTGAAGCGGTTGTTGTAGTCCTCTCTGTTTGTGTCGGTCCTGGTCTCTGGATTGGTTATCTTTCCCCTCCGTCGAACGATCAAACGCTGTTTGGGTCTGATCACTGGGTTGCTGTCGCGCTGCCTGGCTCCGGCAGCTGGAGTTCGTGTGGATGTGCGTGCCCCGGTCAGACCACTGGGTTGGTGTCCCGCCGCCTGGCTTTGGCAGCTGGAGTTCGTATTGATGTGTGTGCCCCGGCCCGTTTGTCTTATAAGTTAAGCGGATGCGTCGGCCGGATGTCTGCATTGGTTCGCTGTTACCTTGCCCGGGCGATCACAAATCACACCGACCTGACCCCGGCACCGGTAGGCCCGCTACCTGCCCTGATGACCGTAGGTCACGCAGGTCAGACTGTCACGCCGGTCCCCGCCGTCGGGCGGGACCGGACCGCACCGGACCGGGCGGGGCCCACGATCGGTCACACAGCTGACCATGAGACGGATTAGCGACAGACCGCCCTCGTGTTCGGTCTGACCTTTGCCATCGGACTCGGTGGCCGATTTCAAGTTACTTGCTGTCAGCACGCCTCGCATGTAGGAGAGGAAATGGCCTAGATTAACCCGTTGTCACGAAGGTTTTGGGTATGGAATGTTGGCGACCACGTTTTGGAGAGCTTGGTACGGACAGCGCACGTGGTGTGCGTAAAGGTATGTGTCCAAATTGGAGGCATTGATTACTGGAAAACATGAATTATTGTCCTAGAAGAGAATTCGGAGTATTCCAGATATTTAATTTCCAAAACCTACTTGCGCGCATATTGCATTCCTGTTTTTCACTCCGCCAAGGAGAGCTTCCACTCTCGTTTGTCAGCAAGGAGCCGTCGCCGAAACGATATTGATCAGCAGCCATCCGTATCTGTATCCCAGTGAAGGGAAATTACCCGGAGCCACGCCGGCACGTTCGACGAGCGGCGCTAATAAAAAAACGATATTACCGGTGAAACCGCCAAGCAACGTCAGCTAGTCTGTTTTCCACCATACAGGTCAGCTGGTGATGCGTGCAGTCCTGCGGGGCGTGCACACCTTCCCTCTCCGCCCCCGTCCGTCGGCGCCCCGGTCGGCGGCGGTGCGTCGGCTGCGTAGCTCGTGACGTAATCACCTGGCGACGGGCCCGGCTCGGCCGGCGGCGGAGCCGGGCTCGGCTCGGCCGCCGGCGCAGCCGGGGCCCGCCGGCTCTGGCATTGATCGCCGCCCGGTCCGACTCGCTGGTGCGCCGGTGGCCGGGGTCGCGCGGGCCGGCGCCCGCCGCCTCTGGCCATGGCCACCCACATGCGATGCTCGTGTGCAGTATTCATGCGTGTGGGCCTGACCGGCTGGTGGAGGCCGGCGCAGACTCGCCACGGAACGCGAGGGCAGATGAAGACGTGCAGCGCGCACCACTGGCATTTGGATGTATTATGCTTTCGTCGTGTGTTAAGTAAATTTCGGTGTACCTCGGAGCTAAAAGTTCCCTGAAATACATCAGATGTAGTGGGTGGGAGGGCGCGCCATGCGTGACGTGCAATGGCGCATGCACTTAATAACCTCCGAGGACACGTGCCCCCTCTCCCCCACCATCACCACCACTACCACCACTGCCACCACTACCACCCTGGTTAAATTTATGACATGTATTGATATGTACATGGCTAACATCGTGAGTTAAATATTCCAGGTAGAAACGTAAAATCAAGAAGATCAGAAACCCGCGACAATTTGTCACGGCACTCGGGAAGCCGTACTCGCCTGCGGCGCTCTTAACCCATTTTTAATTAAACTTTGTTTAGTTATGTCCCCGTTCCATGGTGAAACTCCACGTGCGCCCTTGAAGATATGTGACAGCGAAGTCTCCGTTCAACTTGCGTCGTTAATAAGAAGGTGATGCGATGAGGCCAACAAAAGTGAGCTTTGGCTTATGGCACGGAAATAAGGGCTTTGAAAGACGTGTGGCGTGTCGAAGGGTTAGACGGGAGGACAGCTGAGCGAATCATGGCGGCGCCCTGAACCCCGCGGGCTCGCGCGTCCGCCGAGCTCGGACGGCGGGCTCGGCCGGGAGTGCTGCGGATAATCAAGCAGTAGGCCAGGCCAACGTGTGACTGCCAACACTGTGAGCACATTCTGTCTGCATCAAGCGTCTTGTAAGACGGATTTTTGGGGAGAGCCGTTGAAGCTGAGCGCATCGAATTGAAATTAACCAGAACAGAGCCTGTCGCAATTTTGAGAGAGGCCCAGTCAAAATTCATCGGTAAATGTCTGCATATGAGGTAGCGCGGTCTTCCGATAGGCGGCCATGGGCCATGGGCCCTGAGCTGCGCCCCCTGCCGGAGCCAGTGCGGGCTTGAGCCGGGTCAGCCTGCTCACCGGGCAGGCATGCGGCCAGTGTAGGGGCCCGTGCTGGGTGGTGGACAATGCTCCAGTATGGCCGCTATCGGGGTTATCAGAAACATCATGGCACGCCAGATGGACGAACTTTATTGGTGCACTGACTTAGACGTTTTGTTCTGAAAGGAGAGAAAAAAAGCGACAGGTTGTTAAACTTAAGTTTGTAGCAATTATCGAAAAGGCGTCAGGACGGATAATTGAACGCAAATAGCAATTCCACATTTTCCGCTTCCCCATAAGCTGTCTATGACAGACATCAGCGTGTGTGATGTCCCATGTCGTGCTGACCAGTCCCGGCGCTCCTGATCACGGCCGAGGTCCCCCGTGCCCCCGCCGCGCCGGCGGGGGGGCCGTCTGACGGCGGAACCCCGACGTCCTGATCACGGGCCGAGGTCCCCGTGCCCCGCCGCGCCGGCGGGGGGCCGTCTGACGGCGGACCCCGGCGCTCCTGATCACGGCCGAGGTCCCCGTGCCCCGCCGCGCCGGCGGGGGCCGTCTGACGGCGGACCCCGACGTTCCTGATCACGGCCGAGGCCCCCCCGTGCCCCGCCGCGCCGGCGGGGGGCCGTCTGACGGCGGACCCCGACGTTCCTGATCACGGCCGAGGTCCCCGTGCCCCGCCGCGCCGGCGGGG